TTTTTTGTTTGGTCATGGCCTTAAATAATATTTTCAAACAAACAGCTATTTCTGAAAACACTAGGATTCTAATTATTACTTGCTACTGGGTTTATTTCCTACCAGACTGACGCTCCAAGTCTGCCTCCTCTGCCAGCTTTGTGCGTACTCTGCCAGCTTTCTCAAATCCAGGCCCCCATTCAGAATAATAAATTATCAAGGTATCTTTTATACCCAGATGCTCTTGGGAGTTTCCAGCTGGCCACTGGGAAACACCAAAGATTTGCTCCCCAGCTTTACAAACACTCCCAATGAGGGCACATTTTGTACCCTCCGCATTTTATTAATTAGCCAAACACTAGAGTACGAGCGGTCTATGAAGTTTCTAGCATAAGAAAGTTGGCAAATCAAAAGAAAAGAAGCTCAGTCTCCCTGAGTTAATTTTATGTGTGTATATATGTAATTACATATAATTTATATAAATATAATATATACAGTAATATAATATGTAATGTATAATTACATGTAATATAAATATACATATTTGTGTACTTTTTAAGATGGAGAAAAAAAACCCAACAATTTATTTTCATGTACACAGACCAGCACTAGAAGTATCCACAGAGAAATGTCTTTGAAAAGACTTTTTTCCTAGATTTAATTACTTATTAGTGCCAGTCGTAAACACATGCTTTATGACAGTGGTCCCCAACATTTTTGGCACAGCGACCAGTTTTACAGAAGACAATTTTTTCACAGACCAGGGGCAGGGTGGTAGTTTCAGCATGATTCATCCCATTATATTTAGTGTGAACTTTATTTCTATTATTATTACCTAATATATAATAAAATAATATATGGTGCATAATATATATGATGACATATAATGAAATAATTATTCAACTCACATTATGCAGAATCAGGTCATCAGGCATTAGATTCCCGTAAGGAGCACACAAACTAGATCCCTCACACGCAGAGTTCACAGTAGCGTTTCAACTCCCTTAGCAATCTAACGCTGCCACTGCTCTGACAGGAGGCAGAGCTCAGGTGGTAATGCAAGCGATGGGGAGCGGCCGTAAATACAGGTGAAGCTTTGCTCGCTTGTTCACTGCTCACCTCCTGTGATGCAGCCCAGTTCCTAACAGGCCATGGGCTGCTATTGGTCCATGGCCTGGGGGCTGCGGGCTCCTGTTTTATAAGATCAATTAAAAGATCATGATCATGAGTCAGTGCCTTTGCTGCCTATAATATGCTCTGTGGGAATGTGAACTGGTACAGCCATGACGGACAACAGTAAGGAGGTTCCTTAAAAAACTAAAAATAGAGCTACCATATGACCCTGCAATCCCACTCCTGGGCATATATCTGGAGAAAAACATGATCCAAAAGGATACATGCACCCCAGTGCTTATTGCAGTACTGTTTACAATAGCCAAGACATGGAAGCAACCTAGATGTCCATTGACAGATGAATGGATAAAGAAGTTGTGGTATATATACACAATGGAATATTACTCGGCCATTAAAAAGAATGAAACAACGCCATCTGCAGCAACATGGATGGATGCAGAGATTGTCATACTGAGTGAAGTCAGTCAGACAGAGAAGGAGAAATACCATATGACATCCCTTATATGTGGAATTTACAAGGAAATGATAAAAATGAACTTACATACAAAAGAGGATGATACTCACACTTAAGAGAACGAACTTATGGTTGCCAGTGGGAAGAATGGGGGGAAGGAATAGTTAAGGAGTTTGGGATAGACCTGTGTACACTGCTGTATTTAAAATGGATAACCAACAAGCACAGGGAACTCTGCTCAATGTCATGTGGCAGCCTGGATGGCAGGGAAGTTTGGGGGAGAATGGATACATGTATATGTATGGCTGAATCCCTTCACTCTTCACCTGAAACGATCACAACATTGGTAATTGGCTATACCCCAATACAAAATAAAAAGTTTAAAAAATTTTTCTTTTAATCTGAACAACTGATTATACATCACACCTGAACAGAGGACCCCACTCTCCTCCATTCTGATTTTGTTGATGATAAATAGATCAGAGTCATTCAATCTTATCAACACATCTGGCTCTCTGCCTCACACTTGCATAAAGGCCTGTGCTTCAGGTCAGAGCTTGAGTCTTCTGAAAGAAATATCAGGAGTGGATGGCCTCAGGAGAGGACTGGACCAGTGCACTGGCTCTTTACACTTTGGAAAGAGACCTAGGGCACAGGCTTCCAAGATGCCCCATCACCATAACCGGACACTGCCTGAGGCCAAGGCAGCCAAGATCCAAGTCTTTAGTCCAGAAGGAGATAACTTTGCAAAGCAGACTAATTCCCCAAGGTCAGGGAACAGGAATTATGATCTGGGACTGGATAAAAGTGATTTAATTGTGGTTAATATTCTATCTTCTAACAGAAACAGCTGCTAAGTCATGTCCAACTCTGTGACTCCATGGACTGTAGCCTGCCAGGCTCCTCTGTCCATGGGATTTCCCAGGCAAGAGTACTGGAGTGGGTTGCCATTGCCTTCTGCAGGGGATCTTCCTGACCTACGGGTCGACCCTGAGTCACCTGCATTGCAGGCAGATTGTTTACCAACGGAGCCACCACCAATATATGAGAAATCCCCCTTTTTTTCCTTTGATCTACCTCTATTCATCAATTTAGGAGGCTATATTTGAACAAACTGGACTAGAATATTCCTTAAATGGTTCCTTGCTCCCGTGAGTCCTGCAGAATCGCAGAGGGTAGGCTGCAGGGGGACCAGACAAATTTAACATAGATATAAACTGATGAAATATCAAGGAAATTTTAAAATGATAGTTCTATTGAAAAGACCTGTAATTGGCCTTGTCTACAAATCTACCCAGAACAGTTGCTAAAAAATACTCTAAGTGCCTTTATTGAGACTTTTCTTTCTTAGATCCATTAGTTTCTCTAAACAGGTTCACTAAGAATCTGTCCTCTTTCTTAATGGGATATAATTGGGTACATCAAATTTGTAACCATGACCATGCCAGAAATGTCACATTTAAAGACAAATTTCATTTAATTAGGCATGACAGCGTGATAGTGAGAAACAAGGCCTGTACTTCATAAGTGGGAATACAGCCTCCCCAGGCTTCCAGGAAACTGGACTGAATCTACTCCATGGCTTGTGGAATCCTTGCCTTTAAGGTTATGAGCAAAGTCATTCATGCCAGCCCAGAAACACTGACAAACTAGGGATTCTCCAAACAGATGGTAACTTTCCCATTATAGGCTGTATAGGCACAACCTGATAAGAGGTGAAATTTGATGGTTCCAAGTTCCTAATCTTATATAGGAACTTAGGTAGATCTTTGATTAGATAACATGATAAGAAAAATCTTTTCACACATACACAGATTAAAATTACAGCCTGGGGCCTTAAAAAATCTTCTGACAGAAGTTAACTCTCAAACCTTGGGGGGTCGCATGCTCTAATTTTAGTAACCAAACAAGCAGAGGGACTTTGTTTATTGATCAGCATTTCACGGGGCTTTCCAGGTGGTGTTAGTGATAAAGAACCTGCCTGCCAATGCAGGAGACATGAAGAGATGCAGGGTCCAGATCCCTGGGATCCCTTCCAGATCCCTGGGTGAGGAAGATCCCCTGGAGGAGGGCATGGCATGGACAGAGGTAGGCTACAGTCCATAGCATTGCAGAGAATCAAACACAACTGCAGCGACTTAGCACACGTGCATGCATGTCCATAAAGCTAGCCGAACTTCAAAAAATAAATTCATGACACAATCAGAAAGTTTCTGAAATTAATCTACATGGTCAAATCCATGCCTTAAGAGGCATGGGGATGAGAAAAGCAGACTGATGCCATCTTGAGGTTATCCTGTTATTTGTTCCTTACCATTAAACCTACTCATCATGCCTCAAAGTCAGAGAAACAGACATAACATCTTGCACTCTGGGGCAAAGCATACAGAGACAATGGAGAGAAATGGATAAATTACAACAAAACCAAACCTCAGGTCCCTCTGTCTAATTTTAGCGCCCCAAAGACAGAAACCCCTGAGCACTTTCTGTGAGTTACAAATTCCACAGCAGAAGCTATTTCATCCTGACTTTCACAATGCTGATATTGGCAGACAGCCGTGCTTATAGATATAAGAACTATCACGCGAGAAAACTGCTGGGCTTCTTTCCCTCTGAAGAGGTGAACTGTAATTTGGTAACCTTTAGTTTATTTCTTTAAACACTATGGTGTTTTTATTTGGTGAGCCAGTCTGATGCCAGTACAGACTCCCCTGCAAAAACTTTTTTCCCTTAAAACATGTCTATCTCTGAATCGCCCTTTCACACATTCAACTAGACTATACACCCTAAGAGGGCAGGAATCTGTCTCTGTTTCGTTCACTGCTGTATTCCCAGCACCGAGGGGCATGCCTGCACATGGTGGAGGCGGTGTAAATATTTGTTAAAGGGATGAATCACATGCCCTGGAAAAGTCAGTTCTATTTATTCCACAAATATTAAATAAATGCTCCAATGCTTATTATGTGCCACCCATTAGGGATGTGGAAATGGAGGAGACTGGGCCCTCACCTTTAAGAATCCCCAATACATTGGGGGTGGTGGGTAAATAACCAGGCCAAGTCGAAGACAGTCTACCACTGCTTGGATGGGGAAGCCCAACGGCTGTGGAACTGGCTCAGGGGGGCCAGGGAGGGCTTCTTGGAGGAGGTTTTACTGAGAGATGGATAAGAGAGGGCCAGAAAAACAAGGGAAAGGAGGGGGATGGTGTATCAGGTAAAGGACACAGCACATGCAAAGACCAACAGGTGACAAATGGTGGGAAGGGCAAGGAGTGAGAGCTGAGGCCAGGGAGGACCAAAGAGGTTGTATCACAAAAGGCCTTGTATGCCAAGCAGAGGAGTCTGGGGAAGGCACCTAGAGAAGGTCCTGGCATCGGGCACAGGTGCTGAGCTGAAACCAGCTGCAGCAGGGCAGCGCCAGGCCGGCCACTCACCTGGTGTGCTGTTGGAGGTGGGAGAGCTGTCGGAAGGACTTATCACAGTAGGAGCAGTGGTAGGGCTTGACGCCTAGGTGGATGCGCAGGTGCTGGGCCAGGTAGGAGGCGTTGGCAAAGGACTTGGAGCAGTGCGGGCACTTGTGGGGCTTGGCCTCTGTGTGCGACTTGGAGTGGATCTGCATCTCGGACTTGGTGAAAAAGGTCAGCGGGCATACCTTACACCTGTGGGCAAGAGGCAGGTTCACCCCGGGAAGATCCCTCCAACCCGTGCCTGGATGGCTGAGGGGAGACCCTCTATATCAGAGACCTTGTACCAGTGCCAGAGCTTTGGGAGGAGGGTCCGGGGTGGGGGGCTACGGGCAGGCCCCCAGCCTGGACATCCTTCCCCCGAGGCACATAGGCAGCAGGCAGGGGAGCAGGCTTCCACCTCACGGGGAAGAGCTGCCTGGCGGGCCGTGGTTCTGGAGGAGGGGCTCCAACACTCGGTGAGTTCTCTGCCCTGGCTGTAGACACCTTAGAATCATCTGGGGAGCTTTCCTGGAATGGCTCATCCCAGGCCCTCCATATGCCTCCCCTCGACAAGTTAAATCAGAATTTCTGGAGGTACCGCCCTGGCACTGGCATTTCTGAAAAGCTCTCCAGATGATTCTAACACTGAGAGTTGAGAACACTGCTTGAAGAGAGAAGGAAATAGACTCTCAAAATCCCAGGCTGTGGTGGGGTGGAGGCTGCCCCACCTCTGAAGGGGTTGTGGGTGGGAGGGTCAGGAGACCCCGCCCCTCTAGACCACATCCTCCACCTTCAAGCCTCTGGGCCCCCCATTTTGCAATCCCCCACTGCTAGGCTCCGGAGGCAGCCCCGAGGCACCAGCTTCCGTCCCAAGCCTGCTGGACCCCTCCCACCAAGACCCCCACCTGTATGTCTTGCCCTCCTTGGCAGTCTCGCCCGAGGCCAGGATGGGGTAGGGGACTACGAGGACAGGCGGCCCCCCTGGGTTCTCCGCCTTGATCTTTTTCCGGCCGCGCTCGGACTTGGGGGGGCCAAGCAGGCCGTGGCCCTGGATTGTCTTGATGGAGTCCAGGAGGGGGGGGCTGGTGATCCCTGAGATGAGGGTGGGGGACGAGGCGATGAGGCGGCTCTGGCTGGTGGTGGTGGGCGTGGACGGGCTGCTGGTACCCGTGCCGGCGCTCGACTCTGACGTGCTCACAGCCGGGGTCCGGGAGGAGATTCCCAGACCTGTGAAGACACGGGGGTGGGGACAGGGATGAGGAGCAGCCAGAGCCCGGGTCAGCCCCCGCCACCCAGCTGTGTGTCTCTGAGAGTTCGCCAGTCTTTCTGAGCCTTCCCTTCCCTTTGCAAAGTTTTACTCAGGGGTCAATAAATGAGAGCCGTGTAAGATTCTTTAGATACCTAAGGACGGTTGTTTAGTCACTAAGTCATTGCAACCCCCATGATCTACAGCCCGCCAGGCTCCTCTGTCCATGGGATTTCCCAGGCAAGAATACTGGAGTGGGTTGTCATTTCCTTCTCCAGGGGATCTTTCCGACCCAGGGATGGAATCCCCCCATCTCCTGCATTGGCAAGTGGATTCTTTACCACTGAGCACCAGGGAAGCCCATCTAAGGACTAAATGAGTCTGATCATCTATATAACAGGGGCACTTTGGAAATCCGCCCAACAAAAAACAGACAAACAGAAAACTCTGAAGCACAAAGATGTTCATACTATTGTCATTTATAGTAGAAATCAGAGGCAACTGAAATATGCAATATTAGGGAAGGTTTCAATAAATTGTGATCAATTTTCTCTACTGAACATCAACTGCCCAATAAAAAGAAGACTGTTTGTAAAATTAAAAAAAAAAATTTAAGGCCCAGAAAAAGTTAAGTAGGAGATGGAGATGCACCAACATGTGATATGGACGGTGCAATTAGGGGTAATCTTAAAACAATTTTTTTGCCTTAACTTTCTGATTCTTTTGACAATGAACTTTTTCTTTTTTTTTAAGTTCTGTATTAAAAGTTATTGTTTTAAAAACAAAGGGACTAGAAACATTTATAACATCAAAAAAGTACACAAAAAAATGAAAATTATATCTATCATACAGTTAAAACTACGCTAAAAAAAAAAAAAAAGAAACCCAAAATTTGTGCACTGGAAAAGATAATATCTAGAGTTGACACAGGTATTTGGCGTGTATGTCATACACGCTGGGAGTGTATGCTTATCAACCTTAATAATAAAGGGTGCTTTGGCAACAGCCATTAAAACTTCAAATGTACATAACTTTTGACAAAGTAATTCTAATTCTAGAAATTGCCCATAAAGAGATAATTATTTGCACATGAGCACAAAGATCTGTGTACTTGGACCTTCCATACAAAACAATGATCAGACAAAACTGGACACAGTTTGCTTATCCTCACTAGGGGCTGTGTAAAGAGACACGGCTCATCACAAGAAGAAGAATAGGGAAACCACAAAGACAAGACAAGACATGCAGTGATGAGGAAAGAATGCCAAACTGGGCTGGCAGGTGAAAAAGCAAATCATACACAGCATGAACCCATATATTCAAAAACACACATATCCAAACGACACATGTATACACAGACAATGTGTGTGTGCGTGAAAGCACAGGAGTAGATCTGAAAAGAGACACCAAACTAAACTATGTGTAAATTGTGCTTCTCTCTAGGAAGGGCAAAGAATTTGTTGGTAAAAGGAGATTTTCATACGCTATCTGCTTCCGTTATTATTTTGAATGTTTTACCTGGTGAATTCATCCATTTTTTACATCTGTGATTAAAGGATAAAATAAAATAAATACAGAGAAAACATATGAAAATGCTAACAATAGTAGGACAAGGGTTAATTTTTTTTCCTCCTTTCAACTTGTCTGCAATTTCTAAATTTTCTATAATGACTAGGAATTACCTTTATAATAAAAATGCACTGAATATGTTTATGATAAAATTGTGAGTAGGAAAAGAAAGTTAAAGGCATGGGTACAGCCTTACCACAAACTCAGCAAAACACACCCCCTGCACATTAAAAAACAAACAAAAACGATGGAAAAGGAAGGAAATGGACTAAAGGCTCTCTAAGCTGCTGGGTTACGAGCTGGGGGTTATGATTTTTTTTTCTTTCTCTTTTTTTCCAATTTTCCCTTAATATGCTTATATTACTTTTTTAATATTACTTTTATAATGAAAAAATAAATTTAATAAGGTCATAATAAGGAGGGAATGTGCAGAGGGTGGCTGGAGGAGGCCTGGATGGGGAGGCTCATGAGGCCCCAAGATTCTTGGGCATCTCTGAGAGGGAGGAGGGAGACGGGGAGAGGTGTCTGGCTGGCAGCAGGGGCCAGCTCGAGGAACAACGGCCCAGTCACAGCGGCCACCAGGAAAAGCCTGTCCAGCAGGCTCTGAAGTGGGCACCAGGCAGCCCAGGCCCATAAGATTGCCCAGGATGTCTTCCCAGCCCGCAGCCTCAACCTATCCAGGACTGGGCTCACAGTCAGTCCCCCACCCCACTCCTCCGACGGTTCCATCTCACTGGCAAACGCCTGGGAGTCCCCGGTGCCCACCCTCCCACTCCTCACCCCTTCATCCCGCCCCGCACTCAGGCCTGCGGGCTCTTCCTCCTCAGCATCCCTCAGTTCTTTTCCCTTCTCTCCATCCTCTCTGCCGCTGCCTGGCCCAGGCCACCACCCTCTCCTGCAGCTCTCCCTGCCTCCATGCTGGTCTCCCACCAAGCCACGTCTCCACCTCAGAGCCAGAGACCCAGCTTTCTAACCTCATCTACTTGCACGGGCTCCCACTGCCCGAGGGTAAAAGTCCAAACTGCCCAGGTGGCCCTCGGGGTCCTTCACAATCTGGTGCCTCAGCAGAGCCCCGCCAGAGCGACAGGGTTCACGCCTGGGCTCTGGAACCACAATGCCTGTCTAGGCCGCTTACTGGCTGTGAAACAGGGCCGCAATTTGCTCATCTGCTGAATGGAGACGTTAGGGTGAGCCACAGGAAGCTGCTGTTTTTTGTACTTCAGCCTGTGAAAGGCAGCCACCCCACCGAACGGGCTGGGAGTGATAACGCGAACACTGATGAACACAGATGCTCACCTGGAGTTAGCTGCCACGTGACGGTGATGATTCTCATCACCCTTTGATCTTTCCCACCTGGACGCTGTCCTACTCTTGCTTTCGACACACACCCTCGCTTTGCACATGCTGCTCTATCTTCCCTAGTCAACCACCAACTTTTCCTCGCGTGGGGACCCACCCAAGGAAGTCTTCCCTCACCCTTCAATCCCCCACACAAGTCTGGTTACGGTTCTCCTCTGGATTCCTGAAATTCTCTGCGTGGACTTGGCTTCCTTGACAGGAAAGCGACCCACCCTCGGCCCCCTCTGGCCGGCTTGGTGAAGCAGGTCAACAGGCTACAGGAAGGCAAGTCTGGAAGCCCCACCCCCGTCCCAGGCCCTGCCGGCCCCGCCCCGCGGCGGGCGACACGGCCACGCCCCTCCCAGGTAGTCCCCGCCCACCCGGCCCGGCGGTACCTGTGACCGTGCTGGTGGCCGGCCGCGCGTGCAGCGCCACGTCGGGCTGCGGCACAGCCTGCGGGTGCAGGCCCGGCACCTGCTGCAGCTTGGGCAGCGACATGACCGCTTGGCTGCTCTCGGCCGGCGCCGGTGGCACGAGCAGCGGCTGCTGCGACGAGGCCGACGTGGGCGGCAGGTGAGGCGGCCGGATCTTCTCCGCCATCAGCTGCTCCTTGATCTTGTTAATCAGGACCAGGTTGTCCAGCTAAGGGAGGGAGAGGAGAGGGACTGAGAGGGCTGGGGCCGTCCCCGGCCCCGTCCCCGGGCCACCAGGCCACCCGCGAACCCCTTGTCCCGCAGGCAGCAGCCAAAGCCCGGCCAAACCCAAGCCGCTCCGAGAAGGGGAGGGCGGCGGAAGGGGTGACGCTCCGTCTTACCTGGCTGGGCATGGTGGGAGGAGGGGGCCAGAAGTAGGGGTTGTTAAATCGAGGCTCGGCCATCCTGCGGGGAGAGAGCGACTGTCACAGGGAAGAGGGCCCTCCCCATTGGCCAAGGGTGAGCTCCCATCAGCTATGCCTGCTCAACTCTGGGCCAGCGTCTGGGATCCCTGCCCCCGTGGGACCCTCATCCCACAGCAAAGCAGGACTCCCACCAGGCCCAAAGAACCACACCTCCAGGCTGAAGCTCTGGAATTCAGCATTTCCCACAGTGAGCCCCAGAGAGCAGGGTCCTATCTGGAACAGAGCACCCCCCGGCTCACCCCTCCCAAATCACCCTTATGCCAGTGGACTAATCCCTGTCCCCCCACAGAGACCCTAGGCTACAGAGACCCTAGGCTACAGAGCCAACCCCGTGGATTAGACACACAAGTCTGCTGCCCTGGGACAAACTGAGGAGTTCTGGGCCAACCTTGTCAATGGCCGCAGAGCAGAGGCAACTGCCCCGCCCTGATCCCTGCCTTTCTGACCCACAGAACACAGCGGACAACTTGGGTCATCAGGTAACAGCCTCTGCGAAGGGCAATTTGGCAGGATGATTTACGGGGACTCAAATGATTACAGTTTTGCCCTCTGACCCAAGGAATTGTACCTCTGGAAAGTTCTCAAGAAACGAGCATGGCCAGGTACAACATTCTGCCTATAAGGATGTGTCAGAACACTGTACTTAAGAGGGGAATGAAGAGGCCTGAGGCCTGGGGCCCTTCAGTAGAAGAATGTGACAGTTTGTCTGGTGGCCCCCACCTCTCTCAAGTTCCTGTGCAGTGAGAAGGGCTTTGCAACCGGGGCAGTATAAAGGGTGGGCCTTCAAAGCTATCTTTGTCTTCCAGAGGGCTCACGTCTTCCTGTGGCCCTACAGTAAGTCAAGAAGTGACTTACAGAGACTGTGCTGGACAGGGGCATTCCATGAAGTCTCACTCCATATCAAACTTCTCTTCTTTATCTGTCCCTTACAGAAATCACTAACTAAATGCCTACTGGTATTGGTCGCTTACAGGGAACTGCTTTTTTTGACAGGCAAGGCTGAAATGAAGTGTCTCTAACCTTTTTTCCTGGCCCTACAAGTGGGAGAAGCCCTATTGGAATTGCAGCAAAGGGTTTCAGGGAAAAAAAAAAACCCCTCTGTAAGGATACAACCTAATCTCAACACTTTAAGAAAGATCTTTTATATACATTATCACTTGTGATCTTTACTCGAGGAGTAGTCACAGGAGGTATTATCCCACTTTTTGGTGAAGGAACTGAGGCTTGGAGAGAGGGGAAGAGATCTGCCCAAGACCGTAGGGCTAGGGTGCCAAGAGTCAAGACTAGACATCAGATTTGCTCAGGCTGTTTCCTCTGGGGAATGTGTTTTGCAAACCCCAGTCTTTGGTGGAACAAATATCCACTTGCATACGACTCAATACCTGTATATGAAAGTCTTGCCTCTCATTCCCAGCCTGGGGGTCGGTTTGGGTCTGAGTCTGGCCAGCTGGGAATCAGAGTGCCCTCTTCTCGGGTGGCCGGGCAGCTGTAAAAGCCCTCCTGTTTCCGCCACCCACAAACACCAAGCTGCCCTTCTCTCCACCCATCCAATCCAGCCCATCCCTCACAACCCAGTACCAGAAACACTTCCTGCCTGGAGTTCTCCCTGACTGCTCCAGGTCCCTGGAACATATCTCCTTTCAAAGACAGGCCTCAACACAGTAAGAACAGTGAGGAGGCTGCCATTTATTAAGTACCCACCTTGTGCCAGGCACACTGATACTAAAAGGCGGGTACGCTCCTCATCCCCACTTTACAACTGAAGTTCAGAGAGGCAGAGTGACTTGGTCAAGGTCACACAGCAAGTAAGCAGTGAGCTGAGATCCCCACTCTGATCTGCCCGACTCCCAACATCCAGCTCATTAGTCCCTCAAGCTGTTTGGAGGAAGGACAAAGCATCCTGACTGTAGGATTGTGGACAGGCCCTGTGTTAAGATGGCATGCCACCCACTACCCTTCCATTCAGAAGTCTCAGACCTGTCCCTCCCCTGCTGTTGTCCACTGGGGAAAATGTGAGGTCATCTGAGCTGCAGAGCCAGGGTAGGGAGGCTCCAGGGCTGAGGGAAAGGGGAGCTGGGGAGCTGCCTCAGAGAGGACTGGGAAGTGAAGACACTTGTCTCATTCAGCTTGGCATCACCAGTGCCTAGGCCCAAAGGTGATCAACAATGTGAGTTGCGGGACAGAATGAATAAATTAAGGAATAAATAATTAGACTCATTTTAAAGGCAATCCCACGATTATCCACCACCACTGACGGTGTACAATGCCCTCTGTATCCAGCAGCATTCTCACCAGAGCCCCAGGAAGCCGGGAAGATCTGCACCTGCATTTCGCAGAGGAGGAAGCTAGGACACCACCAGGGAAGCCCTTGCTCCTGGCCACACAGATGGGGAAACAGAAGGAAGCACTGCCGTGCAGTGTTGGGCATCAGCAATCTGAGCCTCCATTTTTCTCATCTGTAAAATGGGACTGACCCAGGCCCCTATGTCTCTTTCCTGCCCTGGCCCAGGGCTCTGCCCACTGTACCCAACCACTTCTTGGACTGTTCCAGGGGAGCTGTCTCGCCTCCTCTTGAGTTCAATGCGAAGTCCAGGCTTCCCAAAGCCCCACCCTGGTCAGGGAGGTAGGGGGTCCCATAGCTGGGATAGAGCATCCTCTCCGCCACTCATCAAACCCCTGATTTCAGGGAGGGAACCACCCCCAACCCTGGACAGGGAGCAGGGTCTGCCATGGATCATGGAATCTGATCCACACAGCATTCACTCCTCTGTGTCCTTCTCGGGCTGGGCTTAAGGAACTTCATGATTTGGTCAATGCTCCAGGTCCTGGTGTACATCTACCTGTGTTAGCGCAGGAAGGTGGGCAGGGGGAGGGGTGGATTTTCTGAGCCCTTATTGAGGGCCCAGCTCATTGCCAGACGCGCATCAAGAGCATCTCACATGAGCCCCTCAACAAACCTTCGAGTTGAGTGTGCATCTGTGCAGTCCTAGGACCTGCAAGACAGGGTCGGAAGGTGGCTGGGGTCAAACCAAGCCACACAGAACTTGTGTTGAGAGAGACATTTTAAGCAGGAGAGAGATGACTGGATATCTGCTTAGGACAGGTGTACAAGGCAGAAGGGCATCCATCCAGGTGGAGGCAACAGCTTGAGCAGACGTGGAGCAGGTATGGGACAGTGAGCAGCTACCCACTAACACCACAGAGAGCTGGAGAGTGGTGAGGTGGGGAGAGACGGAGGCCAGCCAGCAGCATCCTGAATGCTGTGCTAGCGGTTGGGAAGGAATGCTGGCTGTGAGGAGGCATCAGGGAGTGTGCTGGGCGGGGCAGCCAGGTAGCTCAGAGGACCAAGGTCAGCAGGAGGAGCCTGGGGACAGCGCCGGGGGACAGAAGAACCGGGGGCAGAGGAGGCTGAGTGTCCAGGCCGGACGGGCAGAGGAGACATGCTAGCAGTCGGGCAGGATATGCAGACTGGGCTTCAAAGCTCCGGACAGAAGCCAAGACTCTGGGCGGTGGGCCTCAAGATACACAGCCCTGATCATTGCAGTAGGGCGAGCAAGGTGTCATTTTGTTTTTCTTGCTCAAAAAGGTGAAAAAAGTCAGATGGGTCAATGAATGAAACACCTTCTAGAGCCACCCGCCTGCCCATCCACCCATCCACTGGTTCTGGATACATCCTCTGGGCCAAACTGGGGACTGGTGGCTGGGGAACCAAAGGCAAAGAGAAGAACCCTGTCCTCTGGGGGCCCTGAGCTAAGTGGAGGAAGCAGACACGTGACCCAGAAGCTTCTGTGAAAAAAAGAATTCTGGCCTATGAGACCTGCCACATGCCACCAGGGACCTCCATGTGGTCAAAGCCCATGGGCCATCTCCCAGTCCTATCCTTCATGGCCTCCCAGCCACCCTGACCCTCAGAGATCAGTGCTATGAGCCCTGGGTTCCACATCTTCTCAGTTTCTTTCCCAGCTTGCACCCCCACAGCCTAGGCTTCTCAGGGTGGGCGGGAGCCTCCTCCTTGCACCGGCCCAGTCCCTGGATGGTCCATCCACTCCAGGGCTTTAAATACCAGAAAATCCCCAGGTCTCCACCCCTAGACCTGGCTGCCCCCTGGAGCTCCAGGACCACCTTCCAGTTACTTCCCTGACCGCTCGTGGGCTGTTCAGTCTGGACTTGGCCTTCCCCTGGGATACATAATCCGCTAGCCATCCAATCTGAGTAGCGCATCCCAACCTACCCAGATGCTCCTGCCATGGACCCTGGCCTCCCCCCACCCAGCTCAGACCCACCACCAGCCACGTCCCCAGGATTCCATTTCCAAATTCTCTCAGATCCACTGCATCCTCTTCACAAATCCTAGCTACTGTCCCCTCACCTGGACCATGGACCTGCTTTAGTTGGAGCCCAGGGCACCCAGGTTCAAATCTTGGCGCCAAAACACTAGCTGTGTGATCTTGGGCAAGTCACTTGTTCTTACCCCACAAGTCAGGGATGAGCAGCCCAGAGCTCAGGATGCAAAGAAAAGATCAAGGAGGACTTCCCAGTGAAGGTGATACATGCTTTGGGTCTTAAAGGATGAGTGGAAGTTAGCCAGGCAAAGAAGGAGTGGGGAACATTGCTGGTGGAAGCAGCAGTCTTAACAAAATCCCAAGGTGAGAAACAACATGGTGTGGGAGGGGAGCTAAAGTGATCAGCGTGGACTGTGACACAGGATGAGCCTGGAGCCATTAGACACGGCTAGACCTAGAAAGGCAGTTCCTGAATCCGAGGCCTGGGGTCTAGACTTGAAGCAGTTGGGTGATGGGACAGAATCTGTGGCTTACAAAGGCCCCTCTGCCTGCTGAGCATAGGTGGGACTGGAGAAGCCAGGAGAGGAGGCAGTGGGAGGGAACGGGTTGAAGGTCCCCAGGGAATGGAACGGAGGTGAGAGGCAGGAGCTACCCTGGGCCAGGGAGGAGAATGACCAAGGAGGCCTGGCTATTTGCTTAAAGTTGGAGGCCAAGGGAACATGCAGGCTGCCCCCCACCATCACGGTGTGGCCTGGGAGGTCCCCTGGATACCGACGCAGACAGACAGAGTCACAGGAACATGCAGACAGACAGCACCAAACACCGACAGACACAGATCTATGATCCGAAACATGGACAGATGGGGACACGGCAACTCCCGTGAGCGGTACCCCACAACCTCCAGGACAGAGTCACAGGTGGATGCTATAACAGGAGGGTGGGCGCACAGAGCCCCCAGGCAGACCCAGAGGGAGGCGGTGAGGGGCACTCAGGGGAGTCAGGATGAACACGATGCCTTCGTCACCCAAACAAAGCCCTGGTTGACAGGTTTCAAGCTGCAATCGCAGGCTCCTTACCTAGAGGATCCTTTCCCACTTGGTGAACTTCTACTCATCCTTCAAGACCCAGCTCAAGTGTTCCCTCTTCTACGGAGCCTTCCCTGAACCCCCAGTCAGCCACTCCTCTGTGTTCCCAACAGCACCTTGTATATGGGAATAACAATAACAATAACAATAAAAATGGCAGCTACTTTTGATTTCAACACCTACTAAGTGCCAGGCACTGTGCTGAGTATGTTACACGCATCATGTCGCTGTGAGATATGCACCTAACACAAGAGGAAACTGCAGCTCAGAGAGGTCGACCAACTTGCCCAAAGTCACACAGCCAGCAAGTGATGGAGTTAGGACGCCACCCAGATCTGGCTGCAGCGGTGCCGGGGTGGTGCAGTCGTGTTCCCTGTGTGACTTCCCCACCAGACTCAGCTCTGTACACAGGGAGAGCCGGTGCTCATTCACTTCTGCCACTCCAGCGTCTAGTCCAAGGTGGTCTCAGAAACTCTTTGTCGAATGAGAAAGTACAATTTCGACCATCTTTTCCTGAACACTTACAGTAGGCCAAGAAAGGTATCAGGGCATTTTATAGCCATTATTTAACTGTTGCAATAGACCCATTGTACATATGAGAAAACTGAGGCCCAGAGAGGTTAAGTAACTTGCCTGAGGTCACAGAGCTGAGTCTGGATCACAAACCAAGTCTGTCTATCACGTTTTCCCAGGAGAGTGGCCCCTGAGGGCAGCCTAGCAAGCTCCACGAAGGGGAGCTAGGGGCAGGGGCACTGAGGAAGGGGTACACCAGGTGCCAGGCCCTCCCACCTGGGGAGGTTCAGGCCTAGACAAACAGTTGCACAGAAAACGGGGCAGCCCAAGGGGAAGGTGATTAGCTTTGCCCACTGCAGGACAGAGGGTGTATTTAAGCAACTTTTGTCCCACCCACCCCACCCCCAGGCCAGCCCAGATACGTTACAAATGAGATTTGCCCAGACCCCATGGCCACCAGGGAACTAGCTCCCAACAAGCAAATGGGAGAGAGCAGGACCCAAAACTGTCCAGATACTATGATTACAAGGAGGCAAAAATAAAAACCTGCGTCAGAAAAAGCAAGCTGTGGGGAACCACGCCCAGAGGGAGGCTGGCAGTGCTGGGGGAGGCGGCTGGAGCTAACCTGGTTTTTTGTCTTTGTTTCTCTGATTTCCAAATACTCTGCAATGTTGTTGCTTTTATAATGAAAACAATAAATTTATTCTTTAAAAAAGGAGAGAAAGAAAGTGGTTGGTAGCCGGGGGGAGGGGTGGAGCAACAGACAAGGGTCTGGAGGCAGCCGGAAGCAGGCAGGATCAGGGTCGGTGATGGTGGGCGCTCAGCTGATCGTCACATGCCAAATCCCGCATAGGCCCCATCCTCCAGGCACACAGGACCGAGTGGGTCCTGGCAGGTGTTGGCCAGGATCCACCGGGAGTATTTCTACCACCTTCCTTGCCCTGGTCCCAGCCCCCTTCTGGCCTCAGCTATTCCAAGATCCTCCTCCGAGGGACCCTCACCTCTACCCACGCCTCCCATTCTGTTCTCCTATTGCAGTCCCTCTGCTATTTCTAAAACACAAATCAGATCACAACATTCCCCTCGTGAGAATCTTCGGTGGCTCTCTCATTCCTTCCAGACCAGGTCTGGATTCCTGAGGCCTTCCGTGACCGGCCTCTGCTGACCTCTTTGGCCTCACTGGCTGTTTCCACCTTCCGCTCTGCCCAGCCAGACCGAGGGCTTCCCCAGCGCTCCACTTCCCTTCTCACTTCCTCACCTCTCCCTGGAACTCTCTGCCCTCCCCCATTTCACTGGTTAACTACAACTTATTCCTCAGGCCCCAGTTTAAAGGCCACTTCCTCCTGGAAGCCTTCTGGGACTGCGAGGCTATGTTGGGCGCCCCTCTTCTCTGTTCCCTCTGTGCCCTGCATTTCCATCATCAGACACTTGTCATTCCATTTTCTGTCTGTTTTCTCATCCATCTCTGCTGTTGGACATGCTCTCTGTCAGGGCACAATCGAGGCTGAGTCATTTACCTTTAAGCCAAAAAGTACCTGATAAATGTTTGAATGAATGAATAGTCTAAGTAGAGGGAACTGAAAGTGTCATGGCCTAGATAAAGGAAAGTCCCCTCCCCCTCCTCTGAGTCCCCGCCACCACTCTGACACTATGTTGTCCCCTGTGTTATACTCTTCCCTATTTCCTGTATCTTCCTAATTGATCTGAGAAGAGATTGTATGCTGGAACTAGCAGACCAAAAAAGTTACTAACAGCTAATAAACACAGAAAACGGTTCTGCTTCCCTAGCAGCAAAAATTAAATGAGCTTCACAAGTTAAAATAGCAAAAAGCAATAAGAAAATGGTAATACTCAATGCTAGTGAGGGTATGGTGAAATTGGAAGTCATTGCTGAAAACAATCTGGCAATAATGTGTCATGAACTCTATAAAAATGTTCAAACTTCCTGGTCTAGCAGTCCTATTCTTGGTCATCTGTCCCTAGAAAATACCTCAAAGATAGACAAAGTTTTATGTGCAAAGCTGTTTGCTTCAGTGGTTTTTTTTTTTTTTTTAACAGTAGCAAAAACCTGAAACAGCCAAAATTTTAAACAATAGGGGGATGGCTCTGTAAATCATGTTACACAGTGACAGAGTCTATAGTAGTTGCTAACAACCAATGTTTACTGGCATTGTAATGACTCATTTAACATTCATATCTACCTCACAAAGATCTGAGGCACAGAGAAATTAGGTAACTTGCCCAAAGTCATGCAGTGTGTGTGTGATTTGAACTCAGAAAGTCAGGCTCCGAAGCCCATGCTCTCCATCCTGACACTAGATCCATTAAAGGATTAAAACCACCCTGCAGTCATTTAGAAAACACTCATGATACAACAATAATTGGGGGGGGGGGGAGAATTTTAAATTATTTGTATAGATAGAGCAATGACATCTATATAAAAACCAGGTGCTGGAAGAAAAGATAGGAAGGAAATACCAAAATACTAGCACTGGTGTGTTTCGGGCTTGGGGTGGGGACAGAAATGGGGTAGGTTTTGGTTTACTTCATTTCTCTATTCTTGACTTTTCTGCAGTGTGGCTACATGACTTTTTAAGGAATATTTTTAATAACACTAACAGTTCAGCCAGTTTTGGCCAAGCAGGACGCCCCAGCCCCCGCCTATGGCCCCATTAGGATTCTGGCCTCAGGCCCTGCAGGTTTACCCAGGAGACCTGGGCTCAGAGAGGGCCAGGAGCGTGCTCAACGTCCCACAGCAAGCCTCGAGTCCCCAGCCAGGAGTACAGTCAGGAAGGGATCCCCCTTTCTTACCTGGGGACTTTGGGAGCCAAAGTCAGACAAAGGAAAGCCTGCCCACCTTCTCACTCACTCTCCTGTTTAAAATCCTTATTGGGTTGCCATAACTTTGGGAGCACAGTTCAAACTCTCCAGGGTGGCCCAGAGGCCTTTGCTAAGGAGGCCTTGCTGGCCACATGCATCTGGACAGGTACATGCCCACAGCAGCCCTCCCTCCAGCCTCACTACACTACTCTCAGGTTCCCAAAACAAACCGCTCTCGTGCCACCATGCCTGTGGGGGCCCTTCCACGTGGGGGCCATCACCCAGTGGGAACCTTGTTAGATACCCATCAACCATCAAGAGTTAGGTGAGGTGTCACCGCCTAGAGGAAAACTTCCTGATGGCCACCCCCATCCCAGGCTGTATTTGCAGCCTCTCCCCTGAGCTCTTGCAGTGTCCTGGGCTCCCCCTCCACCGCAACCAAAGCACTGATCCCACTACCCTAGAATGGCCCAGTGACTTATCTGCCTGAGCCGCTAGGTGGCTGTGAGCCTTCCAAGATCAGGGCTTGGGTCCGGTTCTTGGTTGAGCAACTTCGTGGACAACCCTACACCCGGACTCAACAGCAGAGCCTGCTAGGGCTCTTCCTTCAGGTCTCACTGAAGGTCACTCTCTGACCTTCTCCTGTGATACACGCCCCATGGCCCTTTGCACTCCCCCTACCCTGCGCCTCTGTATCTTGGCTCTAAACATACCCCTCCCCACCGCTGCTACCCTTGAACACAGGGTTGAGAGCCTGCTGCAACCCCAGAGCCTTGCACCCGACACACAGTAGGTGCTCAAGTGCCTAGTTCACCCTAGCTGCTCGACGTATGGTCAATGAAGAAACACATGGGAGAGGGTGTGTCTACGTGGGTCTCAAGGATGGGGACGTTTGCCAGGAAAGCAAAAGAGCAGAGGGAGAGCATTCCAGGCAAAAACCATGGATGCAAAGACATGGGAAAAGCTGCTCACTTCTTAGGACAGCAATGTGTTCTCAAATATGTCCCCTGCCCTGGAGAGGGGGCTTCCCCAGTGGTTCAGCGGTAAAGAATCTGCCTGCAATGCAGGAGATGCAGGTTTGATCCCTGGGTCAGGAAGATCCCCCAGTGGAGGAAATGAAAACCCACTCTAGTGCTGCAGAATCCCATGGACAGAGGAACCTGGCAGGCTACAGCCCATAGAGTTGCAGAGCTGAACACAACTGAAGCGACTCAGCACACAGGCACGCTCCAGAGCGTGCAACAAGGTACTGCTGGGGTAGGACTGGGCTAGGGTAGGGGTGCTCCTGAGAAGACAAGCTCACCCCACTGAGGGATGAACAAAGACTGCATGAAGGTGGGACTTACTGTTGGAGGGAAGGGGAGGTGTCAAGAGAGATTCCAGGAAGGGCAGGCTGGGTGGGAAGAACGGTATGTGCAAAGGCCCTGAGGCAGGAAAGCACACACCATGATGTTGGTCTGGTGTGAGCCCAGTGTGGGCCTCTCATGGGCTTCCCAGGTGGCGCAGTGGTAAAGAATCCACCTGCCAACTCATGATGCAGGAGGCACAGGTTCAATCCTGGGTCGGGAAGATCCCCTGGAGGAGGAAATGGCAGTCCACTCCAGCATTCTTGCTTGGAAAACCCCATGGAGAGAGGCGCCTGGAGAACTACAGTAATAGGGTCACAAAGAGCTGGACACGACTAAGCACGCACCACAAGAGCCCAGTGTAGGAATTCGCAGGGGAAGGAAGGCAAGGTGGCCAGGCCAGAGTTCCAGGCTTAGACACTTAGATGAAAGGCCATGTCGGGCCATGTTCAGGGGTCCCTGAGCTGAGAAAGGCTGTGGTCAAGGTTTTCAACAGACGGGTCATCACAGGGCCAGAAGGATGGCCTGAATGGACAAGCAGAAGTTGGTCTAGGAGAGAGAAGTTGAAGTTTCCCATCTTCCCAGCACTTGAGACCCCATGTGTTCAAAGATTTCCTCCCACGACCCCTCTGCCCTCCATATGCCCCTATTCTACACAGCCCAGAGTCCCGAGTCCCAGCTGCTGCACCCCACCCCACCCCCAAGACCCAGGCCAGCCTCAGAAACTTGCTCCTGGGAACTTCCTGTGAGGAACTAGGCTCCCGAGGGTCCTGGATCCAATTAGGCTGGGTTTCCGCAGCCCTGCGGGGCTGGGAAGGGCTGTTTTCATTGTGAGGCTGGGGCTGATCAGAGCGGAAGGGGGCTGCTGCCTGCGCCCTGGTCAGTGGGAGCTGGGGTGCCGTGCCCTCCGCTCCCAGGCACTCCTCTCCCACCATCGGCCACCCAGACACCCAGGGTAGTAATCCTCTCTGGGAGCCCCAGCGTCTCTGCCAGGGAATGGGCTGTGACCGCCTTCTCGGGGCTGAGAGGACATTCCGCAGGCTTTGAACCCATGTCCTTGTTTGCTGCCGTGTCCCCTGGGGAGCCCCAGCTCCCATCCCCAGCGGGAACTCCTTCTGCAAGTGTGAAATGACCATAATAATAAGTCACTGAACGCTTCTTCCATCCCAGGCACTGTTAGGTGCTTTACAAGCATTTCTCAACCAGGCTCCTAATGACCCCTGTGAGGTGGATGCTGTGAGCATTTCGAAATAAAACACACATTCAGGAAGATGCCTGGAACAAAAATGAGCAACTCGACGACTTATTACAAAGCCCATGTCCAGGGTGCCCCAAAGCCCCTACCCATGTCTATTCAACTGCAGCCCCCCACACCCCAGAAAGATTCCACCCTGCTGGTTTCTAAGGCAATCTCTCCCTTGCCTGCCTGGGTTCATGAATGAGACTTGGAGAGGATGTAACCTGCCAACCATGCAGCTGGTGGGGGCAGAGGGAGCCCCTTCTGTCCGCTGGCTGTGTGACCTTTAGTAAGTCCATTTCCTCTCTGGGCCTTTGTTCCTTCCTCTATAAAACAAAGAGATGCAACTAAACCACAGCCTGGGTTCTTGGACCTCTGAGGGGCAATGTGGCCACTGAGTATTAAAAGTACAGATTCTGGAACAAGACAAGGTCAAAGCCACAGAGACTGTTACCGAACTGGGATGACAATGGTATCTCCTCAGCATCACTGTGAGGGTCCGATGAGTTAGTAGGTATAAGGTCTTTAGAACAGAGTCTGGTCCGTGGTAAGGATTCCGTGTTGGCGGCTACCGTTTTGCTATGGGGCTCTCCAAGGCACATGGAAGCCTTTCCTAACCTCCTGAAGACTCGTGGAAATGGGACCAACCAGAGATGTCAACTGGGCTGAGGGCGGGGTGCAGTTTCTCAGGACCCATGGGGCTGTCCAGTGGCCTTGTGGAGAGTCAAGTCTGGGATTAGCTCAGCACAAAAGCCAGCTGCTGAACGCCAGCTGTGGCCTGGCCTCCAGGAGCTTTCTACAGGTCCTTGGGGGTCCCAGGCCAGGAACCCCCAGCAGGCAATCAGAACCTGTACTGGGACTGTATCTCAGGACCCCTGGGGGGCAGCGCAGACGGAGCCCAAGGCTGACGTGACAGCCAGCAAAGTGGGCCCTGAGCAGGGCAGAGCAGTGAAGGGAGGGCTGGGCTGATCAGAGAGCAGGATGGGGTTGGTCTGGGCTGGACATGTTGGCGGTGGGGGTCAAGGCCACGGAATACCGAGCACAGGCCCTGGCAGACCAGGCCCACCTCCCCCAGGTCTCAGGGCCACCGCCCTCTCCATGGTCCTTGACTTCCCACCTCGGGGCCTTCACCCCTGCTCTTCCCTCTGCCTGGAATGCCCTCACCTGGAAAACTTCAGGCCAGATCGCTCCATCCCCGAAGCAGCTCTCCCCTACACACACCACCATCGTCACTGGGTACAGTAAATGTAAAAGCACCAAGCTATAGGACAGCCCTCGTCATAGGACAGCGGTTCCTTTCCAGAAGATACCGAAGTCTGCAATCACATCCTCAGCTGTGTCTGCCTCAAGTCTCCAGACCGGGGCGGTGACGACTTCGGTCCCCGCCCCCCCACCGGTGTCCCCAGCATCAAGCAAGGGGCCTGGTACACAGTAAGCGCTCGAGAAGTATTGCTGAGTGAAGGCAGGAGGTCCAGGCAGGCTGCAAGCAGATCTGGGTGGGGCATGGGCACACATGAGTGCACAGGTGTGCGGGAGGGATCCTGTGTAAGGCCAAAAGATCTAAGGCTGGTGTAAGATGCACTGACGTGTAAAACACACATGTGCAAGAGTATGGCTGTGTGCAGGTGATAAAACAGCATGCACATGAGTGTGAAAGGACCCAAGCAGGGGCAGGCAGGCGGCTGTGTGTTGGTTCCTGGGAGGCACACGTGGGTATATCACTACCACCTGTAATCTGTGGGTGGCAGGAGTGCATGCAGCCTCCAGAGCCTGACCGCAGTCCTGGCAGTAGGAAGCCGAAACCACAACCCCCAACACATTTCCACACCACCCGCCTCTCAATCCCACCCAAGTCCAGGTGGGGCGCTGGGCCCCCTGCAGCCCTGTGCATCAGGGAACATTCCCCACCAAGGTGGAGATAAGGAGGGCGGCGTGACAGAGGGAGCCGCTCCCCTACCAGGGCTGTTGCTGCCTTTGACCCCAAGACACGTATGTACCATGTCAGCCAAGTGGCACCTGGGGAGAGGAAAGCCCATCAGGCAAGGCATCCGGAGGTGTGGGTGGCCCTGGATGAGGCCCACGCCTCTCCTTCCCCACTGCAGTCTCCCCAGTAGACAGACTGAGGTTTGGCTGGCTCATCTGTGAGGCCTGCCTTTCTTCAATTAACATGTGACTTTGGATCGAGTGGTTCTCCAAGAACTGGGTACACATGGGGCTACGTGGAGACATCATTGTCCTGTTCCCATAAGTACACCAAGCCTGTCCAATACCCTGGACCAGAGCCAAGCACGATGCTAGAGACAGGAGGGGCTCGGGAGGCATGTATGTTTGGTGCCAGGTACACATACAACACCAGGCACTGGGTGGCCTGCCCCCAGGGAGCTCACAACCCGTGGGGAGAAAGAAGCTACCGCAGTCACAAAACCACAAGGTCAAAAGCACTGGGAAACCATAACGCTAACATCACTTCCCAAGTGTTATTCACAGGATGGGTGCAGCACTTTACCCTCTGTAAAGATGATCTTTCCAGAAATGACGATGGCCTGACAAACGGAGGCTGGGGGGCCTGGTCAGGAGGGAACTCCCCACCACTCTAGCGGAGATCAGAGGCCCTCTTGTCAAGGATGTGGGAAGGGGGTTCCCGCTCTGCGCAGGGGTCGGGTGAGTTTGGGATTCCCCTCAACAGCTGTGGTGTTCTAAGGTGGAGTCCTGGAGTGCTGGGTTCAAGTCGCACAATGCGCCTGATGAGCTCTGTGGACTTGGCCAAGTTATCTCCTGTCTCTGTGCCTCCGTTTCCTTAGCTGTAAAATGGGGGTGATAACAATGAGGATTAAGCACATCCATGTTTACAAAGCCTTTTGGAACATGGCCTGGCACAAAGTGAGCACTTGGGGTCACTAAATAAATAAGGTAGCGAAGAGCCCCTACGTAAGGGTCTAAACCCCAGATCTGGGCTTCCCTGGTGGCTCAGTGGTAAAGAATCCTCCTGAGATGCAGGAGGCTTGGGTTCGATCCCTGTGTCAGGAAGATCCTCTGGAGAAGGAAATAACAACCAACTCCAGTATTCTTGCCTGGAGAATTCCATGGACAGAGGAGCCCAGGGGGCTGCAGTCCACAGGGTAGCAAAGAAGTGGATAAAACTTAGCGACTAGACAGCAACAAAAAACCCCGGATTGGATCAAATGCGGACTCCAGTGTCAAAGATTCTGAGTCAGAAAGCTTCTCAGATGCCAAGTTCTGAGATTGGAAGAGACTGGGATTCTCAGATCCTGTGATTTAATCATCTCATTATTTCCTGACAACAGCCTGGAGCCAGCCTCCCGGGGGAGAAGAGGGCAGAGAGCTCGGTGTCACTTCATCTCCCTGGAGCTGCCCCACTGCAGGGCTTCTGCCACACCCGGGCTCCCCGGCATCTCCTCACCTCCATCAAAGCCACAGCCACCCTGCGCTGGACCCACTTGCCCACTCACCTGCGTGGGGTTTAAGCACCTGCCA